AATTTGACTGTAAACTATCCAAAAGTTGTATACTTCCAATACACTCTATCCCTTCCCCCTATCAAGCTCAGAGGGATGGCCAGAATCCTCTGCACATCTTCTTCTTCAAACCATTTTTTTAGTTCCTCCACCTTCTTAGTTTTGCACTCTTTCTATCTTACTATTTTGATTTTCCCTTCCACATCACTTGGGATCCACTTGTCTATCCATACCTGCACAGTGTTTCCATCCCCCACTCTATGTCTCGTCCCCTTGTTGAGCAGTTGCTTTCCTCCCATTAAGCTTTACCATACCCAAAAGGCTACTTTTAGAGGCTCACTATTCCAGCTTTGCCCCTTAAGGTGTTTGGACTTCAAAACTTTACTGACTAGTAGGTTTGGATAAGTGATAATTCTCCAAAGCTGCTTTGCTAGTAGAGATTTATTGAAACATACCATGTCTCTGAATCCCAGTCCCCCTTTTGTGAAGACTTACAAAATTTATCTATTTTAAACTCCTAATTCTAGCTCATTTAATTATTTATTTGGCCAATTGCCCCGAATATTATTTTCTAACCTTTTTAGACCTAATTATATGGATCTATAGCTTAGTTATATTTTTAAAGTGATTTGTTTAAAAATTTAATTTTTGGAAGCTCGTTAAGTGAAAATAGTGAATACGCGATTGGAGTTAATAATCGATTCGAGGATACAATAAGCTTGGAAAATTGGAGACTTGTACATTAGCCTTAAAATAGGTATTTTTATGTTTAAGTGTTCAAGTGTTAGTTAGTTATTGTGAGACCCCGGTTAGTCCTTAATTTTGATATTATTTGAATAAGGAGTATTATCGTTATTTTGCTATAAAATTTGGTTTTAAGCTTGGTGGTAATACTTTAAAAGGTTATTTCGTCTATATACTATGTGTTTATCTCAATTCATATCTTTTGATGATTACAAAATATTTGGATGTTACTAATACTTTTTGTAGAGATCCTTTTCAGAAATGACACCAAACAGGAAAAGAAGATCAAAGAGGATGAAGAGTGCTGAGGATGATGTCGGATGCACAAAAGGAGATTATCGGACGTCCGACATCCTTTGAGTATCTTCGGACGTGTGAAGAACTCAGACTCGGACGTCCGAAGAAGACAAGCTAGGGCTTCTATGATTACTGATCATGATCGGACGCTCAACACCTGAGTATCGGACGTCCGACAACCGTTGCTGCTCTTCGGACACAACACTCTGGACGCATCGGCCGTCCGAAGGAATTGAAGAAGAAGTTCCAAGTGTACATCCTACCCTCGGACGCATGATGATAAGGGATCGGACGTCCTAAGAGATTCAAGAAAACTTCCAGAACTCATTGATCTCGTTCGGACGCATAAAAACTAAACATCGGACGTCCGACAGCACCAATGGCTAGTTGACTCTTCAGTTGCCTTCTGCCCGTTGACAACATTAATTGAAGAATTTTCTGGTCTCCTATAAAAAGAATAAAGTCAACCACCTCAGGACAACTTTGCACATCAAGTTTACATCAGATCGTGAGTAATTCAAGTGTTAGAATACTCAAAAGGAACATTTGTACTCTTAGCTTGTGCAATCTTCTTGTAGTTTTTTAAGTGTGACACAGCTTCTTCAATAGTGTAGCTTAGTGAGGGTTTTTCGAGTGTTTGTAAAACTTCCTTGCTTGACCAAGTGTGGTTTAGGGCAAGAAGGAAGTGATTCCTCCCTTATACACAAGATATTGGTTGCAAGACTGTTCAACTTGAAGTAACTTGGTAAATAAAAGTGCAGTTCAAACCTCAGTTGTGTTTGAAGCCTGGTTTGTTTGTCTACTTTCATTTACTGCTTTTCTACATAAACTGTTCTCCTCTTCATCTCACAAATACCTGTGCTCTCTTGTTATCTGGTCCATTGGGTGGTCTTTGAGAAAAGAAAGGAAGACTTTCAAAAAAGTGGCCTATATCTTAGCTGTTTTTGAAAACCTAATTCACCCCCCTCTTAGGTTGTCTTCGATCCTTACAATTGGTATCAGAGCTTGGTCTCCTAGAGATTAAGCTCAAGCGGCTTGGAGTAAAAATGACAACCAATCATGCCATGTTTGTTGAGGGACAATCGGTCACTAGGCCTCCCATGTTTATTGGTTCCAATTATGTTAACTGGAAAGAAAGAATGATTATCTTCTTGCAATCCATTGATATTGAGCTATGGTTTATTGTGAATGAATGACACCATGATGCTAACTTTCTTGATCCAGAAACAGGTTTGTTACGGCCAAAAACAAGAGCTGAAATGAATGCTCAAGATAAAACCAATCTCACATTGAATGCCAAAGCCATGAATGTTCTTTATAGTGCCTTAGACTCAAATGAGTCAATTAGAGTAAAAGGATGTAAATCTGCCAAAGAAATGTGGGATAAGCTAAGAGAAATTCATGAGGGTAGTGACAACGTGAGAGAACAAAAAAAGTCCATTCTGGTCACTAAGTATGAATCCTTCAAGATGGAGTCTCATGAAAATATCGACAAAATGTATTGTAGATTCAATGATCTGATCAAGAATTTAGAGGTGCTTGAGAAGGAGTACTCTCTAGGTGAAAAGAACAGGAAAATTCTGAATGCTCTATCAACGGATTGGGAAAGCAAAGTGACTGCCATAGAGGAAGCCAAGGATCTAAACTCTTTATCTATTGAATCTCTAATTAACTCTCTAACTTCTTACGAACTGAAACTTAAATCTAAGATGCAGGATGAAGAAGACACAAAAGGAAGAAAGGGTATTGCTCTGAAAGCTTCACAAGATGAAGATGAAACAGCCTCACAGGATGAAAATGATTTGGAAGGTGATGACAGTGATATTGCACTCATTACAAGAGGCTTCAAAAGATTTCTCAACAAGAGAAGATTCAGGAAAGGTGGATCCAGCAATTTCTTCCCAAATCAGTCTAATGACTTCAGAAACAGAGAGAAACTGGAGTTCAACAAGAAGCTAACTGATAAATGTTATGAATGTGGCCAACCAGGACACTATGCAAATGAGTGTCCAATGAAGGAAAACAAGGTTTTACGAAAACCAAAATTCAACAATTTCCAGATTACCTGGAATGATTGCAACTCAGAAGGCGAAGTCGAAGAAGAAGAGGAATCTGCACAAGTGGCTTTCATGGCCATTGGAGATGAAGAGGTAACACAATGCAACTCTCAAACCGATAGTGATAGTGAATCTGATGATGATGTTAATTCTTTTCTAGAAAAAATGCATAACAGCTTGAAAGAATCCTATGTTAAAAACAAGGTGTAGACAATGGAATTTTAATTAAATTCCAAAAGTTACCATTGGTCTATAAAATATTTTTATCCAATCGAATATTGCCATATGGCATATACACTTGGAAAAATTGGTTATTAAATGACCAATTATATTTTGCCACGTGTCAAGGCGAGGTGTTCTAAATCAATTCAAATTGCAGGGATATCTCCACCAACCAGATCATATCATGTCACATGTCCATTGGATAAATATCTAAATATTTATTTCTTATTAAAGGGATAATATTTAGAGTTATTTAATCCAAATATACCTCATATATACTGCAATAGCTTGGCCAGTCAAACGGCGCCATGTCACGTGTCCCCACGAGTTTGGCCAATCGATAAATTTCTTATCTCTTTATTAATAAATATAAAATGAAAAGATAATATTTGACTGGCACAGTCCTAATATGACTGCACGTCTTGCAAGACAAGTGAGGTAGTACACAGGTTCTCAACCTCTACCTCTTGCTATAGCTATAAATAGGGGTCTCTCAACCAAATCAAGGGACACACAGACAGAGACACAGAGATATCAAGAAGCATCTCATACACTCAAGTATTGAAACTTCAAGCTACGAAGGCCTGGGTCTCAAAGCTCCTCAAGTCTTCCGCATATCAAGGCTTGAGCCTTCAAGTATTTTCAAATCCTTCAAATCTCCCATATCAAGATTTGAAGGAGTCAGTGGTTGATCCAAGAACAAGCTGCGAAGCCCTTGGATTGGTGTTCGAGGAGAAGAATCGAAGGAAGCTCTCCATAAGTTCGAGAAACTTCCAGAGATTGTACCTACATATTTTTCTAAGTTTATGTAGTACATATTTGTCGTGTATTTCTTTTTCTTGTCGTTTTACAGACTTGAAATTTTTATTGCGTACAAATTTTTGGCACGCCCGGTGGGACCATCTCTGCCTTCCATCTCTTCTCCTCGAATATTCAACTACGTCTATCACCAATGGCACCAAAGAGCAACAAAATCGTGATTGCACGTTCCAAGGCTACTGATGCTAAGCCTGTTCAGGAAGCTGCACACGTTGCCTCCAATACCCGCGTTATTGGCCCCGTGACAAGGAGTATGACGAGGACCTCCACCCAAAGTAGCATGGAACCCTCGACGCCAACTCCCGTCTTCGGGTCAACATCACAAATGAGCTATTCCTCCACGATGGGGGTCCAAGACGTTTTCACCTTGATTGAGAAGGCTCTTGCCATGCTCGAACTTGGATCCGAACCCAAGTTCTCTAAGGATGACGACGAGTCCTCAAGCACTGGATCAGCCTCTTCACATGAAACTCTTCATTCAAGATTTTCCATTGAAGATTCTGCTGCTTCTTCTGCTGCAATGTCTGCTATGATGACAAATACTTTGAGTCTCAAAGAACAAGTTTCGAACATGTCCAAGATGATGGAAACCATGATGAAACACATCAAGGACCAAGATGCTCTTATCGCTCAACTGCTCACCCAAAAGGACCACGCTCCTGAGGGAAGCCATATGAATTCTAAGGAGAACCAAGAGCGTGAAAATCTCTCATCTAAAGGTAAAGACAAGGTGAAGGAAGTACACGTGACCGCCGAGAGAACTATCCCCATAGAACAGTTGAAGGAACTTGTTGAAGGCGTGATCAAGGACAAAAATGGGGTAGTTCAAGATCGAGTTTTACCTACTCCAAACCCTACACTGCTAGAATTGACAATCTAGCAATGCCCGCTGGATATCAACCGCCTAAGTTTCAACAGTTCGATGGGAAGGGCAGTCCAAAACAACATGTGGCCCATTTTGTCGAAACCTGCAATAACGCCGGAACCTATGGTGACCTGCTAGTCAAACAGTTCGTCCGATCCTTGAAGCGCAACGCGTTTGATTGGTACACTGATCTCACTTCGGGGTCCATCGACAGTTGGGAACAGTTGGAACAAGAGTTCTTGAATCGCTTCTACAGCACTAGAAGAACCGTCAGTATGCTGGAGTTGACTAACGCTCGTCAATGGAAGGATGAACCTGTGGTCAACTACATTGATAGGTGGAGAAGTCTGAGTCTCAACTGCAAGGACAGGCTGTCTGAACCCTCTGCCATAGAAATGTGCATTCGAGGAATGCATTGGAGCCTAAGTTACATTTTGCAGGGTATACGCCCAAACACATTTGAAGAATTAGCTACTCGTGCTCATGACATGGAGTTAAGCATCACGGCCAATGCAACTGATGGGCTTCCTATTCAAATTTCGCGAGTACAGCCACCTCGGCAAAACAATGAAAGACAAGAAAATAGAAAAAGGGGCAAGCCTCCTTCAAGATTCAATAATAAGGAGTCCATGGCAATAAACACAGCTCCCATGAAAATTGCTACCAAAGTGAGTCGAAAGATCACTGAGAAATTAGATTCCTCCCAAAATAGATCAGTAAGAAGACCCATTTTAAAAGAGATGCAAGAAAGGGAGTACCCTTTCCTTGAGTCCGACTTACAAGGAACCCGACATGAAACGTCCGGAGGAAGCCGGTCAAGTCAATGATCCGAATTATTGCTGTTATCACCGCTTGATTGGTCACCCTCTCACTAAATGCTTTGTCTTTAAGGACAAAATTATGGAATTAGCCCGCCAAGGAAAAATCCTTCTTGACGAGGATAAAGCATCGGTAAACCAAACAATAATAATGTTTGGGTCTGTGTGTTGTCCGATAGAAGTTTTATCCACAACAAGCAGCGCTTTGTCCAAGGAGCTTGAAAAATCCTCAATTGAAGATGTTATTGAAGATGACAATGAAGGATGGACTTTAGTCACTCGGAAGAAGACTTGCAAGCCAAGAATAAAGAAGTACATCTTTTCGAAAAGCATTCATTCGACAAAGCCAAAAGTAACGATGAAACGACAAAATGCAACAAAGAGACAAGAGAGAGTGGCCATAAAACCAATTCCTTCAGATTTTCAGCGCCTTCAAGAGGTTCGGCAACCCGTGACACTGAGAGAATTTATACCCAAAGGGTATTTAAGTGACGATACCGATGATTTCACTTCTTGTAATGTCATCAAAGCTGAAAATCCTCAAGTCACACAAATTGGCACTGAATTTGAGAAAAAACTCAAAGTCGATGATAAACCACCAGTGGATTGTGCAACGACCATCATCTTTGATGATGATGATTTAACTGTTGAGTTCAAAACCCACAATCGACCTTTGTTTGTTAGTGCATATGTTCGAGAACAAAAGATGAGTCGGGTACTCATTGATGGGGGATCTGCTGTCAATATCATGTCCGTACGTGCTATGAAAGAGTTAGGAATCTCAAGTGATGAACTCTCCCAGAGCCGCCTCATGATCCAAGGATTTAATCAAGGGGGGCAAAGAGCAATTGGCCTCATAAGGCTTGAATTGCTCATTGGTGAGCTGTCTTCAAGTGCGTTATTTCATATCATTGAAGCCAAAACCTCTTATAACATGCTTTTGGGAAGGCCCTGGATTCACGAGAATGAAATTATACCATCTACTCTGCATCAATGTTTCAAATATTGTCGAGACGGTATTGTTAAGAAAGTTACTGCCGATGACAAACCTTTCACGGAAGCCGAAACTCACTTTGCCGATGCCAAATTTTATCTTCACAAAGAAGCAAAAAAAAAGGAATCGATAAGGGAAGAAAGTCAAGATTCCAAAGTACCCATTTTGCGGTATACTCCAAGATCAAAGAGAGAAGAAGGTCAGTCTTCTTTTATCAGAAATGACACATTAAATGTTCTGCTCACCAAGATAGAGCCTGTTAAAATTGAGAAGGTGAGCTTGCAAGGGTTTGTTCGTCCCAAAGAAGAACCGGCAGTGGAACATTACTCGCTACCAACTAATCGGACTCAAGAAGATTTTGATCCAAACGCCTATAGACTTCTTGCTAAGGCGGGTTATAACCCAAATGAGAAGAATACATTGGGCAAACTCCTTCCTGAAGTGACTGGCTAGAGGACTCACGGATTGACACCTACGCAGAAAATGTTGAAAGAAAGGGGCTATAATGTTGAAAGTTCATCGATGGGTCTTGGTTATCAACCGCCCTCTCCTGTTCGTATAATGATCAAAAGAGCGAGTTGTAACTATGTGAACGAAGAAATGGAGGTCACAAGCCGAAAGAGATCTGTGTTCAACCGATTGGGAAATAAGTCAAAACGTACTTCTGTGTTTGACAGACTTGGCCCGCAGCCGAAAAATCTGAAGTCGCCCGTCTATGAGAGATTAGGCAGTAAGAAACAAGAGTACCAAGTTGCCAGGGAAGAAAGTTTTACTCCAATAAAGAAGAACAGACCAAGAAAGCGAGTCTCCAATTTCTTCATGCACTATGGAGACTTATTCAATGTAAGAATTGAAACCATTTTTGAAGAACAGGATCAAGAAAGTACGGCTTCCTGTCACCATATTACGATCAGTAATCTTGAAGAAGAAGAAGAAGATGCAGATGACGCTCCCGCTGAACTTGAACAAGGGGTAAAAAATACGGTCGATGAGCTAAAAGAGATTAACCTTGGCACAAGCGACGATCCTCGCCCAATTTAAATAAACTCTTGTATGACTCCTGAAGAAGAAAAAGAGTATGTTGATTTGCTGCTCGAGTTCAGGGACGTCTTTGCCTGGAATTACTCAGAAATGCCTGGTTTGGATCCAAGGGTCGCCGTTCATAATTTGTCTGTCAAGCGAGGAACAAAACCTGTCAAGCAAACGCAAAGGCGCTTTCGGCCCGAATTGATTCCTCTGATAGAAAATGAGATAAATACATTGATTGAAGCCGGATTCATACGAGAAGTAAAATATCCAACATGGATTTCAAGCATCGTCCCTGTAAGGAAGAAGAATGGGCAAATTCGAGTTTGTGTTGACTTTCGAGACTTAAACGAGGCTTGCCCCAAAGATGATTTTCCTCTCCCCATCACAGAATTGACGGTAGATGCTACAACCGGGCATGAAGCACTATCTTTTCTCGATGGATCGTCTGGCTATAATCAAATACGTATGGCGCCCGAGGATGAGGAGCTAACTGCCTTCCGCACCCCCAAGGGAATTTATTGCTATAAAGTAATGCCGTTTGGCTTGAAAAATGCTGGAGCGACATATCAAAGGGCAATGCAAAGAATATTTGATGATATGCTCCATAGAAATGTGGAGTGCTACGTTGATGACCTTGTGGTGAAATCAAAGAAGCGAGAAGATCATATTCAAGACCTTCGAAGAGTTTTCCAACGCCTTCGGAGATACCAATTAAAGATGAATCCTTTGAAGTGCGCATTCGGAGTCACTTCTGGTAAATTTCTTGGTTTCATCGTTCATCAACGGGGAATAGAAGTCGATCGATCTAACATTGATGCCATTGTGAACATGCCTGAACCGCAAAATATTCATGAATTGAAGAGCCTTCAAGGGAAGTTGGCGTATATCCGGAGGTTTATCTCTAATTTGGCCGGGCGATGCCAACCCTTTAGTAGACTGATGAAGAAAGGGGTACCCTTCGAGTGGGACGAATCATGTAGGAATGCTTTTACAAGCATCAAGGCGTATCTCATGAATCCCCCAGTGCTGGCCGCGCCCATTCCAGGAAAACCATTGATTCTCTATATTTCCGCTCAAGAACGGTCGGTTGGGGCCTTACTTGCTCAAGAAAACGATGAAGGTAAGGAGAATGCGCTGTATTACTTGAGCCGGATGATGATATCTAATGAGTTGAACTACGCACCCATCGAGAAGTTGTGTTTGGCACTTATATTTGTCATTCAGAAGTTGAAGCATTATTTTCATGCACATACTATTCGTCTCATATCTAAGTCCAATCCCATTAAATATGTCATGGCAAAACCTGTACTATCTGATCGGCTCGCGAGATGGTACCTCCAGTTTCAATAATTTGAAATTATTTATGTACCTGCGAAGGCTGTCAAAGGACAAATATTGGCAGACTTTTTAGCCGATCATCCCCTACCTGCCGAGTGGGAGTTGACTGATGAACTTCCGGATGAAGAAGTGTTTATGGTCGAATTGCCGTGGTCAATGTATTTCGATGGAGCTGCCCACCGTGATGGAGCTGGTGCGGGAGTTGTCTTTTATACTCCTGAAGCAGATATATTGCCATACTCTTTCACTTTAACACGCCGGTGTTCCAACAATGTGGCTGAATATCAGGCGTTGATTCTCGGTCTTGAAACGGCTGTAGACATGAAGCAGTTGCATCTTAGAGTCTACGGTGATTCAAAATTGGTGGTAAATCAACTCCTTGGTGTTTATGATGTCAAGAAACCTGAATTGATCCCATATTACAAGTATGCAAGGCAACTAATGGGATATTTAGGTAATGTCACTATAGAACATATCCCTAGAAATTTCAACCAACAAGCTGATTCTTTGGCAAGGGTGGCGTCCATGATCACTCTACCTTCTCATCGAAATCAGATTTCAATATGTCAAAATTGGGTCATACCTCCGATGTTTGATGAAGGTAATGATAGTGAAGAAGAAAATACTTATCATATTTTTGTCCATGAGATCGAAAAGGAGGATTGGCGTCACCTCATCATTAATTATCTTAATCATGGAAAGTTACCAGAAGATCCTAAGAAAATGGTTGATATACGTCGTCGAGCACCACGTTTCATTTACTACAAAGGGACGCTTTACCGAAAGTCATTCGATGGGATGTTTCTACGATGTCTTGGAGAAGATGAGGCCATGTAAGCAATGGAGGAGACTCACTCTGGGATATGCGGTGCTCACCAGTCTGGTCCGAAATTACACTTTCGTATTAAAAGAATGGGATACTACTGGCCAACAATGGTAAAGGATTGCATTGACTTTGCTAGAAGATGTCAAGCATGTCAATTTCATGGCAATTTCATCCATCAGCCCCCTGAACCATTGCACCCAACTGTGGCTTCTTGGCCGTTCGATGCTTGGGATTTGGATATAGTTGGACCACTTCCAAAGTCTTCTGGCGGACATATTTTTATTTTGGCGGCGACGGATTACTTTTCAAAGTGGGTTGAAGCGATTCCTCTAAGAGAGGTCAAAAAGGAGAATGTAGTGGATTTCATTCGCTTGCATATCATTTATCGGTATGGAGTCCCGCGTTATATCATTACCGATAATGGTAAGCCTTTTTGCAATGTAGCAATGAATAAATTTTGCAAGAAGTTTCATTTCAAACAATACAATTCGTCCATGTACTACGCTGCTGCAAATGGACTCGCTGAAGCATTCAACAAGACATTATGTAATATGTTGAAGAAAGTCGTGAATAAATCGAGAAGGGATTGGCATCTTCGAATTGGAGAAGTACTTTGGGCATACCGGACTACTTTTCGAACTCCCACGCAAGCGACCCCATACGCACTTGTTTATGGTGTTGAAGCTGTTCTTCCACTTGAGTGTCAAATACCTTTGCTAAGAATTGCGATTCAAGAAGGGCTCAGTAGAGAAAATAATGTTCGTCTTCGCCTTGAGGAGTTAGAAGCACTCGACGGAAAGAGATTGGAAACCCAGCAACGGATTGAGTGTTATCAAGCCCGCCTTTCAAAAGCATTTAATAAACATGTCCGGCCACGCTCTTTCAAGATTGGAGATTTAGTACTCGCCGTTCGGAGGCCGATCATTCTCACTCATAGCGGTCAAAGAAAGTTTACTTCTAAGTGGGATGGGCCCTATGTTGTTCGAGAAGTGTATACAAATGACTCATATAAGTTGGTTGCTGAAGACGGGTTAAGGGTTGGCCCCATCAATGGCAAGTACCTAAAAAGGTACTATGCGTAATCGGGACCCCGCAAGACTCCTGGCCCGCATGAGCTAAAACTGTGGATAGCAACCACCAATAGTGTAGTATGTGGTTAAATTGCTGAAACACTTCACCAAGTCTAAGGTGGTAAACAAATAGATACTCCTGACCCGCATGAGGTTAAAATGTGAACGGCAGGAACTACGTGTGACTTGATTCCCTTGTTGGGATACGTAGGCAGCTTGGAGGGCAACTTCTAAGTTCAGTTATACCACTCCAAATCAAATCCTTGTCCCTTGTAAAAGAAAAAAAAAACAAGAGATAAGAAATGAAAAGCGTTTTATTATTGAAAAAAAAAAAGGAAACTCATTACATGGAAAAAAAATGATGAATGGCAAAAGAATTCAGGAAAAAGAAGAACATGGTGGAAAGTCTAAACATCAAATTTGTATTCCACTACAGCTACTTTATATGATTCAAGTGCAGACTTCATGTCCTCAAGTTCCTTCACAGCGTCATCAGTCAAGATGCTGGTCTGTTCAATGGAAGACAGCTCATCATGCGCTTGGGTTATTTCGACCTGGATCTCTTTGAAGGTCTCATGCTTTTGATCGATAGTTAAGGTGATTTCCAAGTTTTGCTTCTCCAAACTGATGAGTTCCTGTTGCAGAATCTTCTTCCTGGTTTCAATGGATTGCAACTCCTCTTCAAGACTTTGCAAATGACGAGTCAGTTCTTCTCCCTTTGCCTTAACTTTCTCGAGTTGGACGGTCGCTTTGAAAAGGAGTTCTGCATGTGTTTCTTTGTTCATCCTTTCCCACGATGAAGATGCTAGAACATCATAAGCCTCCGCCTTGGCAAACAATTCCATCAAGTGGTCTTTTAAAGGGAGACCGTTGGTGGGATCCGTTCTTGTGATTTCTGCAATGATTTCCTCTGCACACTCTTTTAAAGAAGAGATCTGCTCAATTGGAGTGTCAAGAATCTGTCCGCGGAAATCCATCCACAAACTTTGCAAGTACTTTCTTCGATGTGCTTGGATCAGCTTTTGACCGTGGAATTCTGAAACCAATGCCACCTTAGGCCTTTTTCGAATTTCGTGTGAACTAGTCAGCTCCTTCTTATGCATTGACGAAGTACCTCCACTGGGAACAAATTGTCTTGGAGTACTGATAGCTATTTCGTCACTCTTGTTGTTTGAGATTATATCATCAGT